AATACTTCAAATTGAGGCTGGATCCTTCTGGTTCACTTGTCTCTTCTCTTCTCAGGTGACCAATATCCTAAAGAAGCCAAAACAAATCATGTGGATTAATAAGGCTTATAGTGTATACCTGTAACCTAAAACCATCTTTTAACTGTACACAGTGTGAATCACATTCTCAGACATAATTCATCTCCACATGGACATCAAGCTGTACCTCCTCCTACACACCTGGGTCAGGAGGAGGCTAGGACAAGCCTTGTTCAGAGCTTAGCAGATATAGAGGCTATACCCAACAGCGTTGAGACATCATTGGGAGAGGTCAGCCATGAGCCGCCATCAGCCACCAGGACGGCGCCAGTCACGTATGAAGACGCTCGGCTGGCCAAGAAGAGCGTGCAGTGGGCCATCTCCGTCTTGTTGCCAGCTCGCTGCAAAGGAATGGAGTCAAAAGAACCGGAAGCTTCCGCTTTGGGACCACCTTAGGATTTAAAAAAAAGGACAAACTTATTTCAAGATAATATTGCTTTTATTTATTTTCTAAATGTTCAAATTCCAAATGTCGGTATTTCACCGAATGAGACTATGAGAGTTCAAATTTGCCAGCATCCAATCTTTACCCAGTTTGCGGTAGCCTTCTGTTCCAGAGATTGGACCCGGGGCCACAGCATTCACTCTAACTCCATCAGGACCCCACTCAACAGCCAGATGTTTGGTCATAGCATCTGTGAACAGAATCAGGACCAAAACTGGGGTTTATTTCCAGTTATATTTTGAAATACTATTTATTTGTCCTTGTACTTCAAGCTGAACTTCAAGCTGAACAAAATTAGAATAAAACCAAAGTTAAGAATACACATATGTGACAGAAAGTCTGGACGTAAGATGCAGTGGGTCACCTTAAGACCTAAACTGCTATGCAAAAAGTAGTGAACGGGTAACATAGGGCCACTACATTCTCATTTCCATACCTTTAGCCTTAAATGACACTGAAAAGAATTTTACCATTTGCAGCCTTTGCAGAGCCTGCATGCACCTGGAGCGCTTGTCCTCTGTACGGAAGCGTCGCAGAGATGTTGACTATGTTTCCACCATGAACCTACACATAAAAGATTGAGTGGCTCATCATTTATTAAATAAGTTCATATTTATAGTATCTTTGGTGCAGGGGAGATGGTGTTTAAATCCCATTTTGAGGTAGCCAGCCATTCAGAAAATGTGTGATCTCTACTGCCCTCACATGGTGAGAACTATGAACTGCACAGGGTGCAACCTTCCTCTAAACTTTGGATTATTTATACATGTTCAGAAAAGATAAGTATTTTATGTTTTATTCGGCTGTTCATTTAAGAATGACTTTTCATACCTGTGTTTCAGATATTTCTGTGCACTGTATTTGTGTGAAATTAAACATTTTAGAGAAACACACAAAAGGTGTTTCAATTGTTCTATTGTTTTCTTCTCACTTTTCAATGTAGAACTTTGTCTATTATACTTTGAATATCAGGCACACAGACTGACCACATTAGGTACCCAATAGTACATAAATATCAATAATTTACCTTCAGCCGCATAACTTTGACATTGAACTGTTGACTGTGTGACACGCAGACAGTGGGGCCACGTACCTTGAACCACTTGTCATAAACCACCTTGCTTGTGTTGAATGTACCCATGGTGTCTATCTCCAGAACTGTCTTGAAAGCGTTGAAGGACAGTGCAGAAGCAGGGCAAAGGAAGTTTCCTGCAGCATCTGCACAAAACACAAATGTGTGGTTGTGACTAAGGCAAACATAAAAAATCCTAAGGGGGGGGAAAAACAGACTAAGGATTACTTGAGTAGTTCTTACAACTGTTACTCCAAATGTATGCATTTCATATTCTCTAAATAATAATCAACTATGTTCACAACTTGCTTTGAACTAATAACCTCAGTTTATAGAGGTTAAGGAGATGTGAGGAGAGAAGATAAAGATGCATACTGAGAAAAGTTAATGATTAATCTAAGACCTAGGACCGTTTTCTCTCACTAAGTGTAGATGCAGACAACTTTGCCTACTGTTGATCAGGATGTCTACGCGACCAAACTCTTTCAGCATCTCATCCACGGCAGCATTGATGCTGTCCGGCTGCCTAACGTCCAAACACAAGGGCAGGCAGCGCCGTCCTGAGGCAGCAGACAGCTTTTTCGCTGCCTACAGAGGAATGTTCATCATTTAAGTGGCCAGAATTCTTGCATTTAGTTGACATTGAATGTGCTTTGAACATTTGTAGACACAGTAATGGGAAAGAAAAACCTCTTTCAGCTTCTCTAAGTTCCTGCTGGCAATCACAGTGTCACAGCCATGCCTGCAGGAGGGAAATACCAGAGAAAAGAGCTGAATATAATGCCATGGAGACACCAAAAACAACCAAACGGAAGACATGGAGTAAGGCATTGATAAGAAAATAGAAATGCAAACATCCTATTAATCTATTACTCTGACAGGAGGACAGTGAGTGGAATAGGTGCATTACAAAACCTGTCACAGGGGTCTGTTCCCTAACAGTCATTCTATAATACATGTTACAGATCGATTCCTTTGCCATACAAAGCATATATCACTTCAGTCAAAGTGAAATCACAGACATCTTCGTCATCAATTAATATGCTGTCAGTCCTCACCTCATAAAGATCTCAGCTATACGCAATCCAATTCCAGAACCGCCTCCAGTTATCAAAGCAACCTGATCTCTAAGAAAATGTAAAGAACACATATCTAAGTTTTTATGGCAACAGGTCCAGAATGCAGACAAAGGTTGATAACACAACAATGCTGAAGAGGAGCGAGCAGAACAGCACATATTTTCAGGCTTACTTCAATAAATCTGGACTGTAGATGTGTGTGTATGAAGTCAGGCAGTCGTCTGTTCCCACATCTTCAGGCAGCAACTCTCCTTTTCTCTCTGGCTGTGCCATCCTGGTGTCTGTCTGGTTAGTGAATGCAGACAAGCTGGCCTTGGTACAATTCCATTCAGCATACAAGTGCAAGTTGAACAAGTTATTGTTGACTGTGAATTTGGTGTACAGCCTATAACACTGTAAACGTGTTTAGAAGTGGATGGCAGCTAAACAAACCAAGCAGCCCAGCGCTTTAAAAGCTGGTGATAGCCTCATGCCCATCATGAGCCTCAACATCGCTTTATGCTCTCCTGCACAGTGTCTTTAAACGCATCAGTCGAAGTTAGCATACCCATGAGTACATGCTTTCAACATCGAGATACTCAGTATATATATTACTTATTATCTAAATTGACATACAGTATAACAGCTCATACTTGCAAAGGCCTTCGAATTCACTTTAATTTTCTCACGAATGCGGAGTTCACGTACCTGTTGAGGAAAACAAGCTAGTTTTGCTGCAATGCTGGTACGTATTACCTCCTCTGTGTTAAAAAACTACGTGAACACGAAGCCCTTTCTTTATTCTAACCATGCATATCTACATTAACAGCTCACTTCTGTGTACGTTTTTTTCCCCCTGAAAGGAACAACTTGGACCTTGGTCGTTTACTTTTGTCACAGTTGTTCGCGGATGTATTGTGGGAAATGTAGTCCAAGAGGGGCTCCGTTCAAGATAGACCACTTTACCATGTTCAGATGAAACAATTCGCAGTTATTACTCTTCAGTTAACAGTGAAAATAACCCGAAACCTACTTTTCCTAAACACGTAATCTTGCAAAATTGACCAAAGGTTATACCCCACCAAGTTTCAGCCTTGTTTTATAATATTCAATAAAGTCCATCTTCTCCTCTCAGCTCCATTTTTAGTTTTTATGACGATTATTTTCTTTCTCATGTCCTCTCTTGACTCTCAATGGGAATTTATTGATTGACTGAAGCTTAATATAACACATGTGCCCCATCTTTCCAGTCACTTCTATCTATCACATGTGTTTGTCCTCCTCCTGAAAATGTTAACAGCATTTACAGCTATTTTTTCTAAGCTTTTCCCTGCTCAGTGTATAACAGGGGGAAGTACAAGAATGAACATTTAGAAAATGCTTTCAACCTTGAAATACAGAGGTCAGAACTCTATTTATGCTTAAAAAACACTCTAAAAGCATCACACAAAGACTCCAATGATCATTTACAGTGGCCATCATCTTTTAGGATGGCACCAGTCAGGGTCTCCCCTGTAAACACACACTGAACTAAACAGTCTGGGGGGGGTTCGGTTTCAGGGCAGAAGATGATCGCTGTGCATTAGCCTGGCAGAGTGGCCCGTATTGATCTGTGCCTTGGGAGTTAAAAGGTCTATGCAATGGATCCCTCAAATGCTTTGCACCAAGGCTGCGTGTCTAGCTTTCAGGATAAAGCGTAAGTGCTTTTGTAATTTGATTTGTCTTTGGAGAGACATCTGTAACAGAAGCTCATTTAACAGTGTGCAGATTGAGCTCTCAAACTAAGGTGGTTTTATTAGGGTGGTCTGGACTCCTAAGAACCATAAACTTGATCTTGCACCTTTTAAATTAAATTATTTCTACGGATCTAAATATAGTATGGAAACCACCTTCCTGTGTATATCGGGATATTTTTTACTTTAAAAGGTTACAGTGGTACACTTTGGCAATGTGAAGGGATCATACAGCCCCTGATTTTTCTCCAGCATGAAGAAATATTTTCATTCAATACAGAACCTTGAGTCCTGAACAATGATATTCATTCATGAGCCATGTAAAATGAACCCCAAAAAAGGTAGAATTGTCAGGAAATGTGTAATATCTCAGTCAACCTTAATTGTCATGTGCTCCCAAGAATCTGTATTTTATCGTTTGGCAGGCAGGTGGCGACACATGCCAACATTTCATTTTCTAAACCAAAGAAGACTTTCTCCATAAATATTTAAATAAAAACCAGTGTTAAAACTGCATGACAGTGGATTCCTCTGAATCTCAATGTGTTAGAAGATATATGACAGGATTTAGAATTAGAAAATCAAATCAATAACTGGCAGGATTCCCGTTGTTTTCATGTGTGAAACTTGATACACAAAGAGACAAACAACTGTAAAGAATACAAATGAGGGCGTGACAGTGTATACTTAGACACACTTACATTTTCAGCCTTTTGTTGTTGTTCTTATTCCTTGTTTGCTCCAGGTTCCAGGTTGGAAGGGTACAAAAAAAACGAATAAAGTGGATGTGAAATAGTTTTCAATGCATTATACAGCTACACTTCAAATAACAAATGAGTTGATTTGTGGTAAATATCCAACAAATTAGTTATTTTTAAGAGAAAAAATTTTCAGAAACATGTTTTAGGAAGAACTTTTCATTCTCATCAGTTTGTAATGATCCTTTTGTTTCTGTTTTGTAGATTATGAGATGGTTCCACAAGGACTTAACTCATAATGCATCCAAATTCAAATTCTCAATTGATTTCAGCAGTTCACTCATTTTTTCCATGTGATCTTTCAGCTATCAACTGTCAAACAGCAGAGCAAGCAGAGACGAGTCAGAAACAAAACACGATTAATTAGCAAGACTGGCTTGAATCCTTGAGTCCAAGGGAGCAATCGAGGGAGTATTGTGGGTTGTTTTTTATTTTAAGAGATCAGCTCTCTACATAATTTACTAATTCAAAGTTGAGCATTTGATTAAGAAAAAGAGAACATCCTGATGCAGGAACATAAAGACACTGACTGAATGATGTCTCAGACAGGTAGGAGTTCCTATGAGTCATTCGCAGTTTCAGAAGGTCATCAACCTTCATTATCCCGAGCTGTCCCGGAGGCCAGAGAAGACTCACTGGCCCACAGTAGCAGGATCTGGTTCTGGGCTCTGTACAGGAGTCTGTGTTGGGTTTGTGAGGCCGGCTTTGTTTTGCTCTTCTGCTGATGGCTTTGCTTCGCTGGGTTGCTCTTTCTCCAGACCCACCAGCTTGCAGCTGACCTCCCACAGCCTGCAAGCTGTCTCATCGTCCAGGGCCCGGGGAGCCGGTTCCTTTTCAGTCATAACATCGTAGTAGCGGCCCGTCACTCCCTCCATCTCCTCGGACACAGCCAGGTAGACGCTGGGCTGGGCTCCCAGCTCGGGGCTTTTTACCAACATGGTGAAAAAAGGACCTGTAGAAAGAGTGAGTGGTTTCAACTTAAAACCGAGTCTGTCATTCCCGAGTGGGTTTTATTCAGTGTTCTACACAGCAAAACTGGAGCTAAAAGAATCCACTATTATATATCCTTGGTTCTAGTGTGTTTAGTTATCTTTTAAAAAGTGATGGCAACACAGTGGTGATGATTTTTCAATATAAATGTCTAAATTTCAACTTTCTGTAACATTTAGTTAAACATGATGTTCACAACACTCCCCAAAAATATTATTTAGTTTTTTTAATAAAACATGCAATTTGGGTTTGAAAAGCCATTATTCAAATTTTAAAATCAAATATTCTTTCAGAGTTCTTTATGGGGCTGTCAGGACAATTAGAATACAAAGATATTTGTGGATTTCTAATTAGAATTAATTTAACGTACTGTATTCCATCCTGTGTTGACAGAATATGTGGGGTAGGACATGTAGGACCAAATGTAAAGCATGTCATACTTTACATGTCAAATAACTTCATACCTGTTTCACAAACTGTGAACTAAGGAGGAAGTAATCGAATTTCTTTACTGGAAATCTTTAAATCTTAATAAACAAATTCATGTTTTGGTTTCCCACCAGTGTTTGTCAAGTTATTAAGTGGGTGGAAAATAAGGCTTTGCAACAGAGGAGGATTAGTTACTTATTTTCTTAAGTCATCTGACAGTTCCAGATAAAAAGCTTAATGAGAAACCTGATTTCTAAGTCTATAGAGCCAGCCGAACTGTTGCATGTGCAGGAGATACTCTTCTTATTTGTTATTATAATCATTTATCTTAAGTCTTCATCCAACAACAAAGCACTCACTGAGCACAGAGCTGGAGAACTGTGATTGGTGCAGGCCGGTGTGCCTCCCCAGCTCCGTGGCAACCACTCCTGGGTGTACAGCGTTCACCGTGACCCCTGTGCCTGTAACAGACATATAGAAACCACTGTGTAACAATACGCATCCAACGGCCAGTTCTGAGCAAGAACACTTGCTCCCACACAAGCCCACTAATGCAGCAGCCAGCGGAGTTTGCCTTGTAATCGCTTGGCGAGTTCTCGAGTGAACAGAACGTTGGCAAGCTTGCTCTGACAGTACGCCTGCTTGGTATCGAACTTCTTCTTCTCCCAGTTCAAGTCCTCGAAGTCAATCTTTCCAATGATGTGGGCGAGCGAGGCCACGTTGATCACTCTGCTGGGGGCGGACTCTTTCAACTTCTCCAGCAGGAGATTTGTCAACAAGAAGTGGCCTGGAGGAAATCAGAAACTTGGGAATCAGAGCGCTGCAAATTTCACCGGGATGAGAGGACATTTTAGAGAGTCAGACAGTTGCTTCGATTCACTACATCTCTTCACCAGTCAGCTGATGTACCCAAGTGATTGACGCCAAACTGCATATCGAAGCCGTCCTCCGTCTTCCACGCCGGACACCTCATGACCCCTGCGTTGTTGATCAGTATGTCCACGCGCTTCTCCTCTGCGGCAGCAACAATAAAAGATGCTTTTATCGACACCTCTTTGTTTTGATGATTAATCAAATAGAGAAATTATGCAATCTACAGCAGTAACCTTGTTTGATTCTTTCTGCAAATTCTCGGATAGACTTTATGGAAGCCAGATCCAGGTGGAAGGCGTCCACGTTGGAATTAAGGGTTTTCCCTCTTATCTCCTTGGCTGCAGCCTGGCACTTCTCCATGTCGCGGCATCCCATGATGATCCGCCCCCCTGAGGGTGTAATAATGGAAAAAGAAGTGGGTCGGTTAAAACAAAATGAGTGGCAGCGATTTCAATCTTTTGGGCTTTTCGCACCAAATCAAAGGGAAACGGTTAACCGCACACCTCTCTTTGCCAGTGCTTCAGCTGTCTCTTTTCCAATTCCCGTGTTGGCACCTGTTATCACTACCGTCTTGCCATGAATGGTAGCCTTACTGGGACACCGGCCCCCAGTCACATATTGTCTTTGAAAAGAAGATCAACAAAGTTCTTATGATTTTTTTTCTTAGCATGGATTTGTAGTCCTTTCAAAAACCTGTAAACAAACAAGAATTTTCTTGATCCAGTTAATCATATAAGCTCTTACTCTTCCTTCTTATTTGAATATTAGTCATTTTAAGACATTATACTTGCTTTAAAACAAATATGCCCTTTCACAGCCACCATATTCCCTTATGGAAATGGCCCCTTTTAGCTAGGAAATGTACATTGCCAAATCTTTATTGCAACAGCTTGAAATGCATAAGATAGATTGCAAGGTGAAAGATCCACAGACCTCAGGACTTATCAAAAACTCCTCTGTCTGCCTAATTTCTGTTTCAGTATGGATGAACAGGACTGACAGCCAGTACATCAAAAGAGTAAAGATCACTCAATCATATGGATGGTATTACTATAAAAAAAAGACCCCGTAGTCCATAGTTCGAAAATACATTTATATATTTCAATTCAGCAACAAAAGACACACACTGGGTGGGTACTGAAAACCTCTCGAAAGTTACATCACAAAGTGGCAGCAGGGCTGGGGGACTCACTTCAGTAACACAGCGCATCCCGCCACCGTTCCGAAAACCGACACCGGTAAAATGTATTTACTCATTTCTGTAAAATGAGGCTATAAAAACCATAAAAATGGTCAAGTCTGTGTTCACACCAGTTTCTTACTACACTTCTGTGCAGCAGCACAAGGTTACACGCGCACAATTGTATCGTCATCAACGAGTCTTGACCAACCGTGGGCATGACAGTTGCATTATGGGAAACGTAGTCTTCCCGTTGACGCTTGAAAATGAATTTATTTTATCTACATATCTGAGTTTTTAAATTAAGTTGTTAACTGATGTGAATAGTTCATTTTTTTAGATATTCAAAATCTCTGTTTGGGTCAATGTCTCTCTCTAAAGATGTTTTGGCTCAGTCTGTATCCAGATTATTTGACAGTTGTGTTGTGGTGATGTGGTCCAGACATTGTCTTTTAGATATATGTAAGGATTTTCTGATAAATCTTTTTTTAAATGAATTAACTAATTAATTTTTTACATTCTTTGCTCCAAAACATGTATAAAACATGTATACATTTGTAAATATTTCATGTCTTCATTCTACCGACAATATTTGCATGCATTATCCATAAGTTTCCATAAATTGTTGACCTTTGAACATTGTGCTGGGAAGTTAAATTCATTCTGGTCTTAAGATAATAAAATAGCATTTCATTTGCCTCAGTTTACTCATGAAAGTCCAGACCCATTTTTCTCAAAATTACCTTTTTCTTGAGAAAACTGACCTACTAATTACACTAAGAAGCAGTACCATCAAATTTAAAAGATCTGTCGTTTTCCACAGGTTACTTTGGCCCATTTTGGGTTATTACACCTGCATCACACTGGGTTCTTATTGGTTTAAATGATCCACTGGTTCACAAAGGCTTTACACTAAAGATATGTGTCCCAAAAAAATTATCTGCGTGTTTTAATTTAGACTATAAGTATATCAAACAACAACAAATTTGAAAACCATTTCTGATTTGTATCAGTGATCAAGGCCCCATGTTCACTGTTTTTTTAGATTTTCTGAATTATTTAATGGCATTGTGTACAGATACGATTTGAAAGAGAGACACTATGTCTAAAACAGTTTAACAATATTCCCACAGACATTCAAAGAGTGGTAAACTCTTTTATTTCTACCTCTAAGAGACCAAGGAATGGTCAGTATAACCCTGTTCTAAAAAGTAGAACATCGAAATTAGTGCAGTTGTATCAAAGAGAATTATATTTCTTAAACTTCATGACAGATTATCTGTGACAAAATATTATGGAGCATGCAGTGCAAAAATTAAAACAGCGCCTGAAGATAAATTTGAGAAAGCAGCAGAAACAAGGCCAGCACTTTGCAGCAACCCTTTGCGGCGAGAGGTGGAAAAGTTTAGGTGACACAAAAACTAAAATCTAGGACAAGGTTCTGGCGTCTGAAAAAGGAGCGAGGACAGAACTGGGAGATCGAAGTAGCGGCCCTGCTCTATTTGTTTGCAGTTGGTGGAGGAGTGCGTGCTTGTTTGACCCTTTCAGCTGTCTGCTGTGACTCTGCACTGCATTACTTTCACCGAGATTAATGGCGCTTCCGTTCTATGATAACCCAGAGGAGAGTCTTTCATATTGCTACATTTGGGTCTGTGGTCTGAGAAACCTGGAAGCAGTGAAGCAGCATCCCTTCCATCTCCTCCCCCCACAAAGATAACACCCCCGGTCAAATAATTTAGTTTCAGGAAACTGAGAGATCACATTCCCCTGTAAGACGTCTTTATCCGGGCATCCTACCTCCTCCCGCTCTAACCTTTGGAATAATCCTCAAGCCTCTAGGTCTTAGTATATATATTTTTCTTAAATGGTCTTGGAGAAACTAGAGGGGAAAAAGAGAAAACAAGAAATATGTTCATGTTACACTGCTGTGACTTGTGGGTCTATGACACAAAATGAGTGTGAACAGCACATCAGAAATGGATCAGCAGAAGCTGCAGTTTTTTCTGAGAATTGGGTCTCACCACCCCGGAATCTGTCCACCAACCCATCGAGTGTGATGTGTTTTGGTGATGATGCACTACGGTCACCCCTGTTATGTCAACGCGGTTTACTCAGTCCAATCTGTTCTGGTTGGCAAACATGTCTGGCAGGAGGCCTGCTGTTCAACACGGACGCTAATGAGAGAGGGGGCCGCAAATGAATTGAAAGTCCTACGGGCATATGGCAAAGTTATTTGCGAGTCTTATTACGGTAGGTGAACGTAGAAGGTCGTCCACTTTTAAATTATGCAAGATTGCAGCAGCTTGCACCTTCAGAGCGTGAATCCAAAGTAAAAGCTGGTGGGTGCTCTCAGGTTGGCTGCTGGTTGGAAAGGGTGGGTGGACCCGGCACTAGGACCCAGGACACGTGAGCTATTTTGTTTGCCAGAGGGTGGAGACGGTGAACAATGAAGGAGCAGACTGGTAGGACCAGCAGAGGTACACAACATCTGAACATTCCCCAACTCAGAAGTGTCACTCCGGACAGACGGACTGTACAAACAGACGGAGGCAGATAAGATGAGTTCAGACCGAGTGGGAGCGTGAAGATTTGTTTATGCATGCTGCAGAGATCAGAGCTTTTTTTTTTTTACTGAGCCACCGGCTGCGCGTGGATGTGAATGAATGGGCTCGTCTGAGTGTGTGTTTGTGGTGCTGAAGTGGGTCATGCGGACTGCTGGAGGAGCAAAAAAGATAAACACGCATCCTCCCGCCGCTGCCTGCACAGGTTGAGACGGTGTGTGCTCAGAGGAAGATGTCCTCATCTCATCATTCAGCTCCACATGTGGCTTTGATTTCCTCACCCTGCGCGGAAAGTCTCAAGCTGAGGAGCATCTTCAGAGACAGGGCAAGCATCACCTCGGGCGACCAGCAGGCACATCACAAAGACGAATTCAGCCAACCGAAGCGTGAAACTGCAGGCATTTTGATTTCACCTTAAAAAGAAACGCTGCTCGGCTTTCTCAACGCCTATATAACTGACTGAGATCAGCGAGAGGAAAATCAGATTTCTGCAGAAGCGCGAGGATCCGTGCGGAGCAGAACTCTGCTCACCGAGCGGATGCAGGACCATGGAGGGGAGAGACAGGTCGCCAGCAGGTGAGCAACACCTTGATGCACCCCGATGTGCCGGAAAGTGGGTCAGTGCACAGGGTACAGAAACCCTAGAACCCCCAAAGAAAGAAAGAAAGAAAGAAAGAAAGAAAGAAAGAAAGAAAGAAAGAAAAAGAATTGTTTATGGAGAATTCATTTTCCATTAGATATTCTGAGTATTGGTGTGGTGTGAGCTTTGACCCACTCATAAAGGTTTCCGTTTAAAATTCACATTTGTATTTGACACTAAAACATTTCCCTATGAGCAACGTGTGTCCCATAGTGGTTTTTTTCTGTAATTAATGCTGAATAATGTCATTGTCTCAATGAACACCAAACCCAGCATTTGTTTACCCACTCTGTTATTATCCTGTCTGAGCTGATGGATGGCTGGACATTAGGAGTTGTCCACCTTCTGATATCTCTGTAATCCTTCGTCCATGGCAGATTTTTTATATATACATCATCCTTAATGCTGACTAATACATTTAAATGAGTAGCTGACTTGCAAATCCAAGAGCAGAATGAAGAGGATGGTAATGGACTCCAAACAAAAAGACAGAAAACATACAACAGCAGCCAGCACTGATTTGCATTTGTTTGTAGCTGTGTTGTGAAGCGACATGGTGATCGGGATGTTGGCTGTGACAGCCCAGAAATCAAGCTCCATTCAGACTAAATACTGCTTTTACCATATAAACAGTAAGGGTGACTCAACCCACGCACAATAATATGATAATAATAA